CGCAGATGAACACGGTCATGCATTGCCTAGCGTGTTGGCGTGCACTGTGCACGACTACACGCATAACTGCGGAATCGCGATGCTTGGCTGCCGAGTACAGGGCACGCGTGCGCGGTACTGGGCGTGCGGACGCTGCCTGCGTACTCGCTGGCCTGCCGGACGTGCCTGCGCGCACACCGCGTGCGGTAGGCATCACGGTCGGCATTTCGCTAGCCGTCCGGCTACTTTCTCCGGCAGTCCACATATGACTGATCATGTTTTGACTTAAATAACACAATTATGCAATAAACGTTCGAGACTTGCCGGTTAAAAACTGAAATCACTCGGGAGGGCTTAAATAGCACCTCCGAGGCCATTTTACTTAAAGAACTTGGAACGAACGACTTGACATCGACATGATCTCCCTACAATGAGCTTAACTATATAAACAGAAGGTAAATAGGGGTATACCCTTCAGTTCGGTCGAGGATTGCACGATGACTTGCGTGCGTGTTCGGTACTCCCTTTAATGTCCTTATGCTCTTCCCTTACTTCGGCAACACTTAGGTATTTTTGTACTATTTTTCTCTTATTATTTTCTCACTATTTTCTCCCTCGGATATGAGCTAAAGTTGGTCAAATTTGTGCATGGAAAATGCATGAAAAATCTCACACGCACGGTCATTATAAGGGAGGTGAAACCGAGGGTGTAACTTGGGTGAAAGGAGGTGATTGATGATGCATTTGCTCCCAATGCCAAGTGTCTCGATTGTGAGCTAAAGGGTGGCATGTTTGGCTAGTCATCGGCCTAGGTGGCGGCCATGCACGGGCTTAGTCATCGCCCATGCGTGCGTGGTGCGCCGTGTGTGCAAGCAAGGAGGTGAATCATCACCCCACTTGCACACCAAACATTTATCTTTACATTTTTCCTCATGGTAACATTAAGATGGGGGTTTGGTCCGACCAAGTCACTAAGCATTGCCTAAGTGCGTGCTTAGCGAGTACTTAACGCGCGCGCTAATGCGCTGCACGGTGCTGCGCACGATGCGCGCTCATGTTCGCGGCTGAGTGTACGGTGTGCGTGCATGAATGCGTGCACATGCTAATGCCTTGTGTACCTTGCATTCCTTCTCGACTTAGCTTAGTTTCAATTAACTCCGAACATGCTGAATAATTAATCCCAATTAGTAATGTCCGTTTATAAAATAAACGGTTCGGAAATTAATTATTGAATTAACTCGGTTAATGATTAACCGAATAAACTTTTCGACTTAACGTCAAACGTATGTACTGAAAATGAACGGAATTGATAAAAGATAATACATCACTCTTATTAACAAGAGTTGGGTTATTACAATCTACCCTCCTTAAAATATTTCCGTCCTCGGAAATATAAAACAAAACATATATACATGAAAGTATACATATCAGAACTGAAAGTCAGGAAAACGAGCGCGAATGTCAGCCGCCTGCTCACAAGTGGCTCCGTGGCGATCCCACTGAATACGAACGAGGGGAACATTACGCTTCCGGAGCCGTCGAACCTGTCGGTCCAACACAGCTACCGGTCGCTCCTCGTAAGATAAGTCTGGATGAATCTCAATATCAGTATGAGGAATAACATGATCGGGGTCGCATACGTACTTGCGTAACATAGATACATGAAAAACATTGTGCACACCGGAAAACTCGGGAGGTAAGGCTAAACGATACGCAACCTCACCCACTCGCTCGAGTACTTCGAACGGGCCAATAAACCGAGGGTGTAACTTCCCTCTCTTCCCGAATCGAATAACTCCGCGAAATGGACTAACTCTGAGAAAAGCATGCTCGCCAACCTCGAATTGGATATCTCGTCGATGATGATCGGCGGTTGATTTCATTCTACTCTGAGCTGTTCTGAGTCTCTGCCGGATCAACTCGACTTGCTCGGCTGTCTCCTCGATCAGTTTCGGACCGAGTACTCGATGTTCTCCGACGTCGTCCCAATAAAGAGGGGAACGACATTTACGACCGTATAGTGCCTCATAAGGAGCCATCTGAATAGAAGAATGATAACTGTTGTTGTACGCAAACTCGACGTAAGGCAACAAAGACTCCCATTTAGCACCTCTGTCAACAGTCAAAGCGCGTAACATATCCTCTAACTTCTGTATGGTCCGCTCCGTTTGTCCGTCAGTCTCGGGATGGTAGGCTGAACTGAAAGCTAACTTCGTACCCATTACCTCGTGTAAACTATTCCAGAATCTACTGGTGAATCTGGGGTCTCTGTCTGACACAACAGTAACAGGTACTCCATGGAGTCGGACATAAATCTCAGCCAACCGATCCAAAGACATACTCATCGATACTGGTAAGAAGTGGGCAACCTTAGTCAATCTGTCGACCACGACCCAGATAGCGTCATGATGTTCAGACGACCTTGGTAACCCCGTAACAAAATCCATCGCAACCTCCTCCCACTTCCACCTCGGAATTGACAGTGGTCGTAGAAGGCCTATCGGACTCTTATGCTCGGCCTTGACTTGCTGACAGGTTAAACATCTTCTTACAAAGTCGGCAACGTCTTTCTTCAATCTTTTCCACCAAAACGACCCTTTCAGGTCATGATACATCTTTGTACTTCTTGGATGGGCTAGATAGGGTGCAGTGTGAGCCTCAGATAAAATCTCCTTCATTAATGCTTCGACTTTCGGCACCACAATCCTGCCACGAAACTCCAAGGCCCCATCAATGCCTCGGTGAAAACCCTCGACGCCTCCGGAACGAACCTTAGCATCAATCGTACGAATGAATTCATCTGAAGCTTGCTCTTGCCGGATTCTCTCCCTCAACGTCGGCTGGACCTGCATGGAACTCACACTTCCCAAACTGGCGGTAGGAAGTGCATCAATCAGTTGGATCTGCATCCGGGCAAATTCATGAATCAACTGACTCTGCTGAGTAACAACGTACGTCAAGTCGCCCTTTACCTTGCGGCTTAGGGCATCAGCAACAACATTTGCCTTTCCCGGATGGTACTGGATCGTACAGTCGTAATCTTTGACGAGTTCTAGCCAACGGCGCTGCCTCATATTGAGCTCCTTCTGGGTAAAAATGTATTGCAAGCTCTTATGATCAGTAAAGATTTCGCATTGACCGCCGTATAGATAGTGTCGCCAAATCTTGAGGGCATGAACAACTGCAGCCAACTCCAAGTCGTGCGTCGGATAGTTCTGTTCATGTATTTTGAGCTGACGTGATGCATACGCAACGACCTGGCCGTCTTGCATAAGTACACATCCCAAACCCTGCCTCGAGGCATCACTATAGATGGTGAAGCCCCGAGAAGGATAGGGTATAATCAACACCGGTGCCGTCGTAAGCCTCCTTTTCAGCTCCTGGAAACTCGACTCACAACGGTCTGTCCACTTGAACTTTACAGACTTCCTTGTCAGCTGAGACAAAGGGAGTGCAATCTTCGAAAATCCCTCGATAAATCGACGATAATAACCTGCAAGACCGAGGAAACTACGAACCTCGGATGGATTCTTTGGTGCTGACCAATTCTGGACTGCAGCAATTTTTGAAGGATCAACTTCAATACCTGCTGAAGTAATAATGTGGCCAAGAAAAGCCACTCGCTGAAGCCAAAATTCGCACTTGGAGAACTTTGCATATAACTTCTCTCGTCTAAGGGTCGAAAGAACGGCCCTCAGGTGCTCCTCGTGCTCCTCCTGGCTCTTGGAATAAATAAGAATAGCATCGATGAAAACAATAACGAACTGGTCGAGAAAAGGATGAAATACACGGTTCATCAAGTCCATGAATACTGCCGGGGCATTACTGAGGCCAAACGGCATAACCACGAACTCGAAGTGACCGTATCTCGTACGAAAAGCTGTCTTGGGTATATCTGACTCCTTGATTTTCAGTTGATGGTAGCCTGAACGCAAATCGATCTTAGAAAACACGCAGGCACCCCTCAACTGATCAAATAAATCATCGATTCTGGGAAGAGGATATTTATTCTTGATCGTTAACCGGTTAAGATCCCGGTAGTCGATACACATACGCATGGATCCATCCTTCTTCTTGACAAAAAGGACTGGTGCTCCCCAAGGAGAAACGCTCGGTCGTATAAAACCGAGATTCAGCAACTCTTGAATTTGGGTCTTTAATTCCTGCAATTCTTTAGGCGCCATTCTGTACGGTGCCTTTGAAATGGGTCCGGCTCCAGGGATAAGATCAATAGAAAACTCCACCTGTCGGCAAGGCGGACCTCCGGGAAGTTGGTCTGGAAACACGTCCACAAACTCACGAACGATAGGAATGTCATGAGGTGAACGTGCCTTCGACTCATCTCCAACGAGGCTCACAAGATAACCCTGGCAATTACCTCGTCGAAGAATCTTTCTGGCTTTCGCCATAGAAATAATATGTGGGAGAGTACGAGTCCTGGAGCCGTAATAAGTGATCTGATCATCTCCCGGAAGATAAAGAGTAATCTCCCGGTCATAACATCGAATATCTGCGTGAAATCGAGTTAGCCAATCCATACCGAGTATGAGGTCAAAATCCCTCATCTCGATAACATAAGTATCAGTAAACAGAATACGACCGCTGATGGAAAGGCTGAGATCGGTGGCTCTAGCGTCAGTCACTATCTTTCTTCCCGAGGCTAAACTCACCTCGAGAGGATCGACAGCGGTAGTGGAACGAACCCCAATAGCTTCGAGACATCGACGTGATATAAAAGAATGGGTCGCTCCGGTATCAAATAAGGCATAGACAGGCACATCATTAAGAATAATCATCCCGGACATGGTACCTGGGTGCTGGTCGGCCTCCCTCTGGTCAACTGCAAAAACGCGAGCCTGCTGTCTGCCGCGTTGCTATTGTTGTGGTCGTGGTGGTTGCTGCCTGGGCTGCTGTTGTTGAAGCTGCTGTTGTTGAGGTTGCTGTGGCTGTTGACGTTGTTGTTGCAGTCGTTCTGGACAATTATTACTGAAGTGACCTGGCTAACGACAAAAGAAACAAACGTTCTGGCCCACAAGACATTCTCCACGATGGTGTTTTCCGCAGGTTGGGCATTCTGGGTATTGTCTGGGACGGGTCTTCCAGTTGTCTGAGCCCCCTCTAAGCTTCCTCTTGTTCTGGTTTGTTGATGGTTGGGCTAGTTTAGGCTGGGCTGATGGCTGAGCAACTGGCTGGGCTGGTGTCTGGATGGCTTCACGTCGGATACTAGCATCGACTTCCTGTGCAATGGCAACTGCGCGGGCATAGGTCTGGACGCCGTGGCCTACGATGTTGTGGCGGACTGCTGGGCGAAGTCCGTCGGTGAAACGGTAGGCTCTCTTTGCTTCCGTACCTACAAGATCTGGTACAAAAGCTCCGAGACGGGTGAACTCTCGTTCGTACTCGTCAACAGTACGAGTACCCTGAGTGAGTGCCAAGAACTGGCGCTCCATGTCTGCTCGGAAATACGAGGGATAATACTTTTCTCGGATCAACTCCTTAAACTAGTCCCACGTACAACCGTATTTTTCACCGGGACGCATACTCCAATAGGCTTGCCACCAGAGTCTGGCATCACCGGTCAGCTGGATCTGGGCACATAACATGCGATAACGGTCGGGGCAGTTCATGACCTCGAAAATAATCTCGAGACCCTGAACCCATTCATCTACTACACGAGGATCTCCTTGGCCGGAAAACTTTTCTGGGTGGTAGTCGCGAAACAAAGCGACCACTGTGGCCTGTGGGAGTTCCTGGTGATCTGGCTCTCTACGAGGAGGCATCTGGACATTGAAATATTTAACACGAGTAAATAACATAGGAGATGAACTGATTAGTTATTTAAGTACACAAATCTCTTGACGAGTCGCTAATTAACCCGAGAATACTAAAGTCGAACTATCAAATAACTAGGATAATCGACTAAGTTCTGAAAATACTCGAGCACCTTACTGGTTTCTAGGGTCAATAACCTGGTACCCTATACTGAGCATAGACTTAAGTATTCATTTAAATATACAAATAAACTGAACTTCAGCACTTACCTGATAGTCGGCGAGGCGTGAGCGTAGCGTGGTCGGGTCTTTTCTGAAAATTTCTACCTTTAAAAGTATTCAGATACACGAAAATGTGCTCTGATACCAATTGTAACACCCCACTAGCTTACTAAAATCAGAGTGCGATTTTCGCAAATCCTTTTACGTTATAATTTCCGAAACATATATTGGGATGCTACATAAAATATTTCTTTTCTAGAAATCTGTTAATTATAAACCCATTTATGAAAAACGGATTATCATTATAAAACAAGCGCATGATATTATATAAAACTAGATCCAAAAGCTCAGATCGTCGCCTGAAAATTTACACGCTAGTTTAAAAGTCTAAAGACGTCACCGGAAGTAAAAGGTGGCAAATATATACATATCAACAGTCGGCAAAAATATAAACATATTTACATGTACTGGACCGGCGACCACCCGTTCCACTCACTCCTCCGGACCGACCCTGTCTCCTGAAAAGAATCATAATAGTGGGAG